TATAAAAACCGTCCATTAAAATGACAAAACTTGATCTATAGATATATATAAAAGCAAAGAAAAGCATACCATTTTTGTTAACATCTTGTTAGAAAAGACAGACTATCTCCTTATAAACAAATCGCATAAAATTGTATGACCCACTCGTTAAAGGACGTTCGATAGAGATAACGGAACCTACATAATTATTACATTTATCTACAAACTTCAGTCTTTGTGCAACCTGTAAACTTGCCAATGTATATGATGCATGGCATTTTTGAATGAAATACACTGATCATGAAAAACAAAACAATTTGCAAGGAGATTGAAGCAAGCCGACAGGAACGTGAAGTTGTTGAAAACTTGGTTTCTAGTGAGAAAAATCGTTGCAAACTTGAAAAATAATATGATAAACAAGATCAACAAGGAAAGGTGGCGTTTAAAGAACGCAACCCCCCACATCCCAGCAACAAAGTACCAGGAGCAGGAGGCCAAGCAGGACCCCAAACAAAAACAGGACAGGACACAAGGCAAAGCATAGACAAAAAAATCACTCCGATAATACATAAAAGAAAATAACAGTAACCGATAACGAAATAAAGAAGACGATTTATTGATTGATGTACAGGCCAACAAAGTAAAGGGGCACAGGGGAAGGGGACTAACCGTAGACGAGAAAACAGAAAGAACACAAAATTTTCATTATAAAAGTATGGAAAAACAAACAATACATACATCTGAGGAAACACAGAGGGATGCCGCCTTGGAACGAATCAGCAGCCTAAGCACTGCTTGGGAGTTGAAATCGGTTGATGGTGCACCAAACCTCACTCTTAGCCCCATCATGCTCCTTTTTCAGGGAGGCAATGCAAATAAAATGAATCTCCGCCAAGTGAAATTCTAATAGTTGTTATGGTAACAAAAGGTGAAATAAGTTAAATACAAAAATGATCATGTAGAATCGTATAAAATTAAACCAAATGACCATAACAAAAGTACTTAATGTCTTAAAGAAAGACAGAGCAACGAGAAATTACACACAAGGGCCCGACGAAGCAAGGCAGAAGACGAACATTGAGACAATTTAGTTCCAAAGGGTTTTAAGAACTGTCCATCATAGAGTCCCCCACTTGGTCCGTCAGTCGTTATCAAAAGAGGAAAGTGAAGTGTCCAACTGAAATTGGGTTTGACACTAAGCATGCGGTATGTCTTAAAATCGTATGGTCATAACCTTTTTTAAAACAAAACGTTTAATAACTTTAGTAAAGACAACAGAAAAAGTACCCAAGATCCTACGAAGTTTGTAAATCACATCCCCATAAAATTAGACTTGTTTATTCCTTGTCGCTGAATTTTTTATAAATCACTAATTAAAATTAAATTACAATTGTACAATTTTGTAAAATATTTCCGTACTTTATGATAGCGGTAACCCTGTTTGAGATGCTTGCTAGTAATAAAAAATATTATGCTCGTTTACATCCTTTATGTTGCTATGAACTGTGGCAGATCTAATTAACTGAGGTTTGCCTGTGTTTTCATAGACTTTATCAAAATGTACATGTGCTTTAATGGCAGACAAACAATATGTCATTAAAAAAGAAAGTTTACTTGTAGTGCAAGAGGCAGAATTAGCAATAAATCTAGCTTTGTAAGGTTTAGGAATCCAATACATGATAGGAAGTTTGAGTTCTTTTTCATCAATTCGGACGTTGATACTGGAAATGTTAGTGATATGATTGTTAACAATGTCTTTTTCAGAAGCATTAGGTTTAGAATACCTATTGGTACTATTAAGCTCATTTGAAATAGATACGTCATACAATAGTGATTGTATTTGCCGCCTTGTCTGCTGGCACCAAAATAAAGTTTGAATTAAAACTGGCTACCGACTCATGAATATTTACAATAACGGCACATTTTCTACAGGTAAGTGAGTGGATTTGTATGTCATTTTGATTTTTTTAATAAGCCTATTCCTTAACGCAATGTATATGAAATTCTCGGTGTTGAGCTTATGATTTGACGAAGTGACTGAAGATATAAACTGATCATTTACATATTTTTACAATTTGACAAGTGGTCGGATTTTCTTCTCATTTATTCACATCTTTAAAAATATACTTTACATAGGACAACCCAAAGCGTTAGTTTCTGAGACATGTGTTGTTCATGATTCCTTGACACTCCTCCCACTTAGCTACGACAGGGTCTTTCAAATCTACCCCGACTTCGCTCACAATCGGAAACATACGGATTTTGGAATAACAAGTTCATGTTGATATCGATTGGAAGTCATCTTTATTCGTGATGGACTGGTCAAACTACTGTATTGATTTTCCAATATGCTTTTATTATCAGAAGTGACCCATAAATCTACCTTAAGCTTAAAAATTAGTATTCATGGTAAAGATGGGACTTTTTTTTAGGAGAATGACATGCCTGACACATCAAAATGATCTTGATATATCGGGTTGATCGACATTTTTTTTGGCATAATGATCTCAAAGATTATACACCCCCTTTTTCACTGAAATTTTCTTTTACCACAAAACTGATATATATCCTTTTAAGAATAATGCAAATATCCAAATGAAAAATTATCCAAGATTCTTATGAAACAGTTCATTTTCGTAAGAAAACAATGCAGTGTTAGTTTTTTCAAATATTTTTCATACTTGAAAACATCAAAATTTCATCAAATCACCTGATGTGCACTGAATTTTACTGATTCCTTGCACTTTCTAGCCAATCGCAGTCTATATTACAATACAGTAAACTGAACAATTGTTGGTAGAAAAATTAAAAGCCGTGACCAGGGGGCCGTTTTATCAACGTGTCGTAGTCTACGACAATTTTTTGTCGGTGCCGTACGTCTGCGACAACGTCGTACGACCGTTTTATGAAACGTGTCGCAGACGTTGTGTTTCTGCGACGTCGCAGCCTTTGTCGTAGACAATAATTCTTACGAGACACAGTCTAGCCAGTGCGCGTTTTGACGTCACATAGGAAATCAAAGTACTTAAAGTACTGATGACTATTATCAAACGGATAAATTTACATGATTATTAGAAAATGGATAAATATTTTATAATGACATTAAAAGAACACATTTAGTGAGAAATACAGCATATATTTTCTGCACTCGATTCAACCCTTAAAATACTAAATCACGCTACGGTTCCACCATTAATGCCGGGTCTGTACTGAATGCTAAAGGCACATTATGTCTCAGTCTAAACAGAAAACTAAAAATCAAAAGCAATTTTAAGAAACGCCAAAAAAGTATGTTAATAGTACTTAAATAGTAAATTTAAAATTTTAAATAGCACCGGGCTTTTCAAGTGTATCGTGTGGCGATCAATCGGAATGTCACGGCTATTATCTATAATAACATCGGAGTTAATACGGATTGAAAGTAGTTACACCAAGTAAGGAATACGCACATTCCAACTGATTTTAACGAGATAAGGTGCAGAGTACCCGTGACTATATAAGCTACCCACAGTATATAAAAACTAAAAAAAAATAATAACCTGAAAGCATTCGAGTATAGCCATTTTTCATAGTATTTTCCGAGAAATACGGTACAGACTCGAATATATGAACAAGCGAATAACTAGTCCCTTGTTTTTCTAGTTGTTTGAAAACAAAAAAAAAAATAATATACATGTATAGTATAGATATACCATTGCCAATGCATCGAAATAATAAATTGCTGTTTTGATTTTTTTGTTTATTTCGTTTTTAATTGAAAACGGTACACGCTGTTTTGTATTCTGTTCCAATTTGTAATCTTAATGAAATATTTCTATTTAAGCGTCATGTATAGTTATTTTTTAGTGTTTTTTTTTTCAGAATTATATTAATTGTTTAAAGGTATTTTATTACATATATTTCATGTAGTATTCTAAAAAATCCCCTACTCCCGGCATTGTAAATACAGTTCGGGTACTATATTTTTTCAAGTCTTAAAAAGAATTGAAATACATAACTGGAGAGGTCACGAGACCTCTTCACAGTGTTCAGACCTAAACGTTACATGATGCAAGTGGCGGCCTAAAGTTTAGTTTTTGGATTTGGTGCCCTTAATTTTATCTCGACATTGGAATTAGCAATACAAACATTATTAACAGTCATTGTGATTTCCCTTTGATGTTTTGCCAATAGTTGTGGTTTAGATCTTCAATAACCAACAAACGAAGTTGACCTAAGAATTATACACACTAACAATGATTTTTTATAAGAAGTGTATTTAATATTGGTAACAAATTTTCTGTTCCTCTAAGCATGTGGCGTTATTTTGGACAGAAAATTACCCGTATGTGAAATTGGTCTGGAAATTCTTAAAACAACCTCCTGATCATATATCTTACAAATATTATATTTATATAATATAACCTCTATAGCAACAACAAAGATTTGTTGTGACTTAAGCAACATTAAACACATCTGAAATTAGTAACCAAATACCGAGTATTGCATAAAACATATTCAGTTACTTTGCAATGTATTTATAATTTGCAAGTATTGCAATAAGATATCACATGAGTATCTTTTCACAAATCATAAAAACGGTTCATGCTACAGTTATGTTATTTGCAACATTGCTCTAAATGCTAGTTCAATATGTAGTTAAAGGGTTCTCGTGCATACAAACATTCGTTCTCATCTCTATTAAATGCTACGAGAGTGGTCCAATGTGTACTATTCTACATGTTGATAAACTTTTGTTTAGTTCTGTAAACTACGCGACTATTCGTGGCTTTTCATGGAATGACATAAAAGTATCACAGATAATGCTCCGTGATTACCACAAGATGATATTCTTTTGTTTCTATATTGTACCACTTTCAAAAATGAATGTTGGACATTGCGAATATTGGAAGGTTTATTGTATTTATCACTGCCCATCAGGCTGTATAAGACGAATTTCAAGTTTTTTGTTTTTTTTTAACTTTGTTTGCTCTTTTTGAATTATACTGAATAATGAATAAATATATAAACAAAATGATAGCTCTACTTTAACTCTTTATTTAGGTATAAAGATTTTTGCCCATTACCAAAAAATCCATGTCAATATCTGGCTTTATCCTGAAAGAAAACAAAAACATTCACAAGGTGATTGCTGAAATCGTTAATGGCTATCAATCTGAACTATGTTGTTTATTAAATGTTTGCTTGTTTTGAAAGCCTACACAATTATTGCCTACATCAGTATTCTTATAATGTTGATAATTCTAGTTTTAATAATAATTATCATCATTATTGTTATTATTAATATTATCATCTCTGTAATATATTCATCATAATTATTAAATATAATGTATATCATTTAATGAAATGATGATTCTTTACATATGAAAGAAAAACACCTAGGAATTGTTCGTTCGCGTGAAATGATGGAAAAAGCATACCGACAATGATGACGTCAGTGCTATTTAGTGACGTATTTGAGCATTTAGAATTGCAAAGATCAGCGTCGCAGCAGGTTTTACATACGGGCGTTGACCGTGATTCTCGTGCAGATGTGACGTCAGTTTGTCTCTTGTGGGAAATGCACTAGAAAGTTTGAAAAGTAAAAGTATACTGTTAGATCTCTTATTCACCAGTTGATTCTGTTGGGTCTTCGGTTTCATTACTTAAAGATACTCAACTGCAGACAGGTCGAATGCCACAAAAAATGTAAATTTTCACGAACCGATATTTTTATGAACATGCGTTTTTAAGACATTAAAACAGAATCAGTGATACATAGATATGCGTGCTTTGGCTTGTAAAATTCTCCATTTTGTGAAAAGAGCGTTGTAACGGAGTGCAATAGTGGCATATACAAGACCAAACGGTAAGCGTGTCAAAATTCTTGTTACGCACATATTTTCGTGTGAGAAAATCATTCAAAAGAAATATCAATACATTTAAAACATAGTTTAATAAACATGCTTTACTCCTTTAACTTGCGTAAATAAAATTTCATTCTCCCAAATGAGCCTTGCACCATCCAGAAAAGCGGTCTTAAGGACCAGTAGCTTGTAAAATTAGGTTGCCCTTGCTAAAATCAGGTGATCTCAGACCAACGGACCACTGCTAATGTCGAGGCCTGCATGTATTTTAAAATCAATACGTAATAAATTGTTTGACCGGAACAACCATCAATGTACTTCTGAAGAAAATGTCAATTCAATTTAAATGTGGCTGATTATCTTGATTTTGCATGCCAAACATTTTCTTAACGTGCCACATATTTATGCATAATTATCAAAATATCCATCCATGATGGCAAAAACCGACACTATATTATCAGTACAACCTTGATCTTTGGTGACAATCTTGCACTCGATGCGCAGTTTGAGTTATGATTTTTTTATTCTAGCTACAAATGACTGTATTATGGGCAGACAAGAGCATCATTGCACTTTTATGAAAATTTCATTTCAAGTAAAGAGCCATTGTCAATAAGTGTCAATAACAATTGGGTGTTTCTTTGAAAAGACGGATTGACAATTATATCTCCATTCCAGCAGAAAAAGTTTGTTACGCACAATACCTGTTTGTTATGGCATTTTGTTGTGTAGTGATCATACATCCCGCCAAAATCAAACTTCTCAATGCTGCAAACCTTGAAAATAAAATACTAAATAATGCATAGTTATCTCTTGGCAATTCTTACCGTTTTACAAGCATTTGTTCAAAGTATAATACCATTTAAATAAATTTCTAGCATGCCGATCAAAGTTATAAATAATGAACAATGTCTTTCGTCCGTTCATTCAAAAGTGATCAATATACAATTCTGGTAAAACCCAATGAACCACTGAAAAGTTTATAAGAATATCTTGTCATCATATATCTACTAGTTCATCTGCACCTGCTGTTTGGACGCCCTTTGATGCTTTGCATCAATGCTTTTCTTGTTATGTATTATAATTCATTTTGTAAGGCACATACGGAATTCTGCATAACTAGAGTTGCATCAAAAAATAATTTATGTACTTTTTTTACGACAGCCACACTTTATCCTTGTAAATCATGGCTACTTCCTTAACAAAAACAATTAAAAAAAGAATTTAACAAAAAAAAATTTCCTTTACTCGGATTCGAACTCGAGACCTCTCACTCACTAAGCGAGCGCGTTACCACTGTACCACGGAGAAGTTATTCACAGGAAATCTGAATAATATCAAGTCATTCTAAATTTAGAACTTCCATTGCATTCAGGTTTGTAATCCTTATTAATTTCGAGGTATTTTGTTCAGGGTAAACCTATTGTTTAAAATTGAAGTAAATATTTTAGCGAAAATCCTCTCGCCCAAACAGTCCGACATGTAGAATCTATATATTCCACTACTCGGTTTGTGTAGTATTCGGTAATCTAACATGGCTAAAAATAGTATTTTCATTGATAAAATCATATTCATCCGCGTAATTTGTGATTGTGCATTTTATTGACAATCTATAAGCCAACGCTATTGTTTAAGCTTTAAATGCGTTGTAATTTGTTGGATACTTGTAACAAAATAAAATATTTCTTTCTTTTAAATCGCTAGTTTTAAGCTGTTTTGAGAACTACTTGTTGTTTAGGTTTGTCATAAACTTCTGTGTAGAGATTGAATGTCCGCTTTGTATTAAGTTTATTTTCGATCAGAAAAATACCAGAAAACATATTAGAAAATCTTCGACCATTCGGGAATAATAAATTACTTTGCTTGAAAATTGATGCGCCTGTCTTTGACCATCTTTACGCAGTGATCTCCCCTGAATTTTTCGGCTTTAGTGTACATACAAAAGGGAAGTAACCGCTTCAAAAAGTGGACTACTTTCGGCATTTGCAATTAAGAACATTAGACTCTGAAATTTCGCTACCATTATTTGTTTGGTCTGACGACCCAAACAAATAAAAACGGTTCATGCTACAGTTATGTTATTTGCAACATTGCTCTAAATGCTAGTTCAATATGTAGTTAAAGGGTTCTCGTGCATACAAACATTCGTTCTCATCTCTATTAAATGCTACGAGAGTGGTCCAATGTGTACTATTTTACATGTTGATAAACTTTTTGTTTAGTTCTGTACACTACGCGACTATTAGTGGCTTTTCATGGAATGACATAAAAGTATCACAGTAAAGCCTCCGTGATTATCGCAAGATGATATTCTTTTGTTTCTATATTGTACCACTTTCAAAAATGAATGTTGGACATTGCGAATATTGGAAGGTTTATTGTATTTATCACTGCCCATCAGGCTGTATAAGACGAATTTCAAGTTTTTTGTTTTTTTTTAACTTTGTTTGCTCTTTTTGAATTATACTGAATAATGAATAAATATATAAACAAAATGATAGCTCTACTTTAATCTTTATTTAGGTATAAAGATTTTTGCCCATTACCAAAAAATCCATGTCAATATCTGGCTTTATCCTGAAAGAAAAACAAAAACATTCACGAAGGTGATTGGCTTTGCAAAATCGTTAATGGCTATCAATCTGAACTATGTTGTTTTTATTAAATGTTTGCTTGTTTTGAAAGCCTACACAATTATTGCCATACATCAGTATTCTTATAATGTTGATAATTCTAGTTTTAATAATAATTATCATCATTATTGGTTATTATTAATATTATCATCTCTGTCAATATATTCATCATAATTATTAAATATAATGTATATCATTTAATGAAATGATGATTCTTTACATATGAAAGAAAAACACCTAGGAATTGTTCGTTCGCGTGAAATGATGGAAAAAGCATACCGACAATGATGACGTCAGTGCTATTTAGTGACGTATTTGAGCATTTAGAATTGCAAAGATCAGCGTCGCAGCAGGTTTTACATACGGGCGTTGACCGTGATTCTCGTGCAGATGTGACGTCAGTTTGTCTCTTGTGGGAAATGCACTAGAAAGTTTGAAAAGTAAAAGTATACTGTTAGATCTCTTATTCACCAGTTGATTCTGTTGGGTCTTCGGTTTCATTACTTAAAGATACTCAACTGCAGACAGGTCGAATGCCACAAAAAATGTAAATTTTCACGAACCGATATTTTTATGAACATGCGTTTTTAAGACATTAAAACAGAATCAGTGATACATAGATATGCGTGCTTTGGCTTGTAAATTCTCCATTTTGTGAAAAGAGCGTTGTAACGGAGTGCAATAGTGGCATATACAAGACCAAACGGTAAGCGTGTCAAAATTCTTGTTACGCACATATTTTCGTGTGAGAAAATCATTCAAAAGAAATATCAATACATTTAAAACATAGTTTAATAAACATGCTTTACTCCTTTAACTTGCGTAAATAAAATTTCATTCTCCCAAATGAGCCTTGCACCATCCAGAAAAGCGGTCTTAAGGACCAGTAGCTTGTAAAATTAGGTTGCCCTTGCTAAAATCAAAGGTGATCTCAGACCAACGGACCACTGCTAATGTCGAGGCCTGCATGTATTTTAAAATCAATACGTAATAAATTGTTTTGACCGGAACAAACCATCAATGTACTTCTGAAAAAGAAATGTCAATTCAATTTAAATGTGGCTGATTATCTGCTTGATTTTGCATGCCAAACATTTTCTTAACGTGCCACATAATTTATGCATAATTATCAAAAATATCCATCCATGATGGCAAAAACCGACACTATATTATAAAGTACAACCTTGATCTTTGGTGACAATCTTGCACTCGATGCGCAGTTTGAGTTATGATTTTTTTATTCTAGCTACAAATGACTGTATCATGGGCAGACAAGAGCATCATTGCACTTTTATGAAAATTTCAGTTTTCAAGTAAAGAGCCATTGTCAATAAGTGTCAATAACAATTGGGTGTTTCTTTGAAAAGACGGATTGACAATTATATCTCCATTCCAGCAGAAAAAGTTTGTTACGCACAATACCTGTTTGTTATGGCATTTTGTTGTGTAGTGATCATACATCCCGCCAAAATCAAACTTCTCAATGCTGCAAACCTTGAAAATAAAATACTAAATAATGCATAGTTATCTCTTGGCAATTCTTACCGTTTTACAAGCATTTGTTCAAAGTATAATACCATTTAAATAAATTGGTCTATAATAAAAGATCTGTTGTACCATTAGTAATTATGTTCATAGCATTTAGCAGTATTCATGAAAACAAACCACAAGAGAATTATATATCGATGTTGTTGGTAAGTGTTGGGTACATTATCCGATATGAAACATGAGTATGTAGCAGATAATAAAGTGTTCTAGAACAAAAATTATTTATTAACGATAATATATTTGTTCATACTAAATAAGTTAAGAACTCGATTAATATTTTTTTTCAAAAATTTTTATAAGACACTGAATTTTTTTTTTAATTTTTTAATACAGAAAAAAATGCCCTTTTAAACCCATCTATTTAAAAAAAATAAGATTTTTTTTCAAAACCAAATACAATTATTTTGATAAAAAAAAAATTTGTGCGGGGTGAGTTTTTAAAAAATGATTTGCAACACAAACTTAAAATTTATTACACCCCTTTTGGGAAAGTAAAATTTTTTTTGAAATTTTTACAGTGAAAAAAAAAAAGGAGGGGCCAAATTTTTAATTTTTGGGGAAACAACCAATTTTTTCACGATTTTCACTAAAAGAAAAGAAACGGTTTTTTTTCTTTAAAAGCCATTTTTCATTTTAAAAATATTAAGGCGTTGTAATAACATCAGAACTTTAAAATAATAAATTGTAGTTTTAAAAAAAAAAATTAATTTTAATTAAAAACTAAAACATGGTATCACAAATAAAAGAAAGTAATGTTATTTAAAAAAATTAAAAATATGGCTATATTATTAAAGGACATGGTTAAAGACATGCAAATGTTACTTTTGGATAATAAATACATTGTAAAAATCAGATATTCATCACAGAGTTAATGCGCAGAAAAACATTGTCTCTTAGTTTTCTACACTTTACTGACTTTGACTAAAAAAGATTAAAATAGTCTCTGAAGAAAATGAGTCTTCAAGTGTTTCTTAAATCTATCAACTGATGAGCATTGTCTGATATTTAATGGAAGATCATTCCAGAGTTTCGGGCCGATTGTACTGAACTTCTGTCACTGAAAGTTTTACACTTATTAAAAGGCACTTCATAACTGTCAACTGAAAATGATGATGATCTCAGAGAACGTTTTTGAACTTTAGGTGTAAGCAGGTCGGTCAAATAAGTTGGTGCATTTCCAACGTGACAGTTGTACATATATACAAGAATCTTGAATTGTATTCTGGCCTTGATGGGCAGCCAGTGTAGATCGTATAGCGCCTGCTTAGAACTGTCACTTTTCCTACGATTCAATACTAGTTTGGCACACATGTTTTGAATTCGCTGTAGTTTTGCAATATCACAGTTTGAAATACCATACAGAATCACGTTGCAATAGTCTAAGTGAGAAATAACGAGTGAGAGTACATAGTTTCTGTTGCATCTTGTGTGAGGAATTTGCAAATATTTTTTATGCGAAAAAAGCGCAACATAGCTGTTCGACACTTTATCTTGATGTGATGTTTGAAAGTCAGATTTTCGTCCAAATATGCCCCTAAATATCTGATCGTATTTTGTCGTTTGATCTTATCACCACAGATGTTAATTTCATCTTTAGACAGTTTACGCAACTGAAGAGCACTTCCGAAAATAATGT